ACACTGTCCTCTCCCATCCTTAAAGCCCAGGAAAGGACACTAACAGCATCTCTCCTCAGCTAGAATAGCTCTTATATCATGGACATACTGGTGAAACTGTACTCCAAATTGTCAGATGATCCTATCTGGTAGGTTTACATAGATGTTAAAGAACAGGGGACAGAGGGTTGATCTGTGCAACTTCTCACATATCAGGCTGATTCTCCTCAAGCATTACTACACATTGAAACCACCCCGCAAAGAAGGAATAGAATCTTTGCAAAGAATGCTTCACATATCCAAGCCCTGCAGATGACCCATGGTTGATAATATCAAAGGTGGCTGAGAGGTCCAAGAGGGGCACATTCTCCTAGTCCAGATCCTGGCAGAGGACACCCAAGAGAGTCACTGATGGTATCACATTCACATTTAGAGTCCAAATAATCCTCTTCTAGGGTGCTATGAAGCTAGTCTTCTAGTAGTAAAAAAGAGAGGATGGAAACAGGATGATAGCTGTCCAGAACCACTGGATTCAGAGTATCATCTCCATAAGAAAGCTCAACACAGCCTCACCCTCCTGTAAAGAGCCATTGGCAATCTTCTAAACCTGCCATGTCAAACAAACCACGAGCTTCTGATTGACTGATTTTATTGTTATTATACAGAAACACAAGATACCAACAGGGCATATTTTCACATGGTTCAGGTCAAAATGATGAGAGGAGAAAACAGAAATAGTAGCTCCTTCCATATGCCAGAAGGTTTCTACTGTCTTGGAAAATAGAGGCAATTAACTCACCAAGATAATGGTTTGCTCCATAGCCAAGAACTCTTCACTTTTGGGAATTGAAGTCCCCACATCTTAAAACTGCTGGGGTTGAGAAACCTAGTCTAGGGGCAGGCAACCCTGGCTCTTTTATGACTCGTGGACTTGAACTCCCAGAATTCCTGAGTCAGCATAGCTGGCTCAGGAATTCTGGAAGTTGAAGTCCATGAGTCATAAAAGAGCCAAGGTTGCCTACCCCTGCACTAGTCTAATGGGCACTTATAAGCAGCATTTCACAGACTACAGTCCCCAGTTTATCTCATGTGAAAAGTATGAAGCCACAAGAGTATAACTTCAAATGTTACACGATGGCAACCTGTATATTTTGGGCAGCTATGGTCATTCCTCAAATTATGAACACCCCTGGTGTTATGTGGTGAGAAGAACAGATGAGTGACTTTTTCCAGCCCACTTCCTGTATTCCTGTTTATGCCTTTTACAATACTTTTAAAAAAAGAATTGCAAAAACTTAACCAACTGCAGAAGTAATACAAGCATGAGAGAAAGTTTGATAAGCTTCAGCTAGTAGAGAATGTGGCTGCATGAGCAATGCTGGACCTTTAAAAGATGGTGCCATAACACTTCTGCTGTATGAGCTGCATTGGGTGCTGGTTTGCTTCCAGGTCCAATTTAAGGGTTGGTTATGACCCTTAAAGCCCTACATGGCATGGGCTCAGGTTATCTATGGAACTGTCTTCTCCCTATAACATCAGCCCATCTCACCCATTCAGGCAGAGAAAGTATGCTGTAAATGTAGGGATTATACTGAAAACCCATCATTCTCAGGTGCTATAGGTCAACCCCTTTAATTCCTTTCTTCCTTTATAGATTGGGACAAAAAAATGTTTCCACTGCTTCAAATGATCAGAGCAGGAATTCATCTAAAACAGAATGAAAGGGGATGGTATTTTAACTATAGGATGGTGATGATTCTAAAAAGTCTTAACTGGAAAAAATTAGATTACATAACCTGTGGACAACATAGCTGATCCTCAATATTCCTTATAAGTGATGTGAAAAAATAAATAAAAATCTAAAAATTAAGTACAGTACTCTTATATTGTGAACTCTTGCTGAAATAAAGGTGGGCTAAATCTAGATGGATTGAATTTTTAAATAGTAGCAGGAGCTACTGCTGGTAATAAATTAATATTTACTTAAATTTAATATCTTCATATTTAATCCTATAAGAGAGGGGAAAGATCATTTAAATGTATGCAGCTATTTTAATATTTCAAAGACTGTCATAAACTTTCACTATCTCTACCTCTGGCAATACAAAAGCTGAGTAAGTTATTCAATGCTAAGCTGAACTAAATTTAAATAATCAGCATATTAATTACTTTACCACTCTTGAAGTACTTATGATTGAAAAAGAATAGCTCTTAGAAAACAAAATTAAACTATTTTGCACCAAGAAGAATAGTAAGGAAGGATTTCCCTTTCATATGACAACTTAAAAGTTAATGCTCATTTATAAACCAATCCTAGTTTTTAGTTTTGAGGGGGCTTCAGGCTGTTTACTTTGAGTGCACTCTCTTAAATTATGCAGGGTGATGGTAGGATAAGAATTAGAATTTTCAGTCTATCTATCTATCTATCTATCTATCTATCTATCTATCTATCTATCTATCTATCTATCTATCTATCTATCTATCTATCTATCTATCTATCTATCTATCATTTAATATCCTACTATCCAAATAATCTCGCTATCCAAAGCAATAATTTGGAGGTATGACTTAAAACTAAAATATATGATCTAAGTATTGCCCCCAACAGACAGAAAACCAGATAATTATTAGCCACATAAAATTTTAGCAATGCAATTTTGGGGTAAGGGATTCTGGATAGTAATGATGGGGCCTTGAGGCTAATTTCTTCCAGGAGCTATATTTTCCTTGTCTCAGCTCCAGCTCCAGTAAATACAGGTAGTCCTCAACTTTCAACAGTTCATTTAGTGACTGAAGTTGCAACGGCACTGAAAAAAGTGACTTATGACCATCTTTCACACTTATGACCATTGCAGCATCCCCATGGTCACATGATTTACATTCGGATGCTTGATAAGTGGTTCATATTTATGAAGGTTGCCGTATCCTGGGGGTCATGTGATCAGCTTTTGTGACCTTCTGACAAGCAAAGTCAATGAGGAAGCCAGATTCACTTAACAACTGTGTATATAGAATCAACTTAACTGCGATGATTCATTTAAGCAACGTGACAAGAAAAGTCATAAAATGGGACTTAACAAATTTCTCACTTAGCCACAGAAATTTTGGGCTCAATTGTGGCCGTAAGTCGACCTGAACTTGGCAACTACCACTCAAAGGGATCCATTATAGGGATTTCCTAAATGGGTCTCACAAAAAGAGATTGCAGAAGAGATCTGCAATAATCTCTGGGTGAAATAATCAATGAGGAGCTCGTGAATTACTCTACGTGGGTAAGTCATGTTTGACAAACTGGTCCTTGACAGATTTATAGGACAGCTCTGGTAGAAAAGCCAACTGAGTAAGGCACCTTTCATTCATCTGAGCTGTTGAGCTGCACCATTTTCCTGCTCCTCCCAGCCTATCTGCACATACCTAAGAGGAAAAGAGTGATCAAAATATCCTTGGCAAGATTGACATGCCAGAAATGATCTTATCCTTTTTTTTCCAAGATGTGGATACCTTAAGGAATTTTTAAAATCAGTTACAATCAGTTACAGTTGACTTACGACCACAGTTGAGCCCAAAATTTCTGTTGTTAAGTGAGACATTTGTTAAGTTGAGTTTTGCTCCATTTTTCGACTTTTCTTGCCACAGTTGTTAAGTGAACCACTGCAGTTGATAAGTTTAGTAACCCGGTTGTTAAGTGAACCTGGCTTCCTCATTGACTTTGCTTGCCAGAAGGTCGCAAAAGGGGATCAAACGATCCTGGGGCACAGCAAAGGTCATAAATATAAACCAGTTTCCAACCATCCGACTTCTGATCACATGATCCTGGGGATGCTGCAAAAGTCGTAACTATGAAAAACGACCATAAGTCACATTTTTCAGTGCCATTGTAACTTTCAACGGCCACTAAATGAACTGTTTTGAGTCGAGGGCTACCCATGTAACGCCGCTGCTGCGCGAGCTGCACTGGCTGCCTGTGGCCTTCCGAGTGTGCTTCAAGGTGTTGATTATCATCTTCAAAGCGCACCATGGCATTGGACCTGGTTACCTCCGAGACCGCCTTCTGCCACAGATTGCCTCCCACCGGCCGATACGCTCCCACAGAGAGGGCCTCCTCAGGGTGCCGTCAGCCAGNCCGCGCCCTTAAGACCTGGTTATTTCAGCAGGCAGGACTGGCCTAGGGGTATTTTAAAGGGGTTTTAAATTAAATTTTTAGTAGAAGCGGCCAAATTTGAATAGATATTTTTAATCTTTTTAAATTTTGTATTGTACTGTACCATTGTTTTAAACTGGCTGTAAGCCGCCCTGAGTCCTCCGGGAGAAGGGCGGGGTATAAATTTAATAAAATCAAAATCAAATCAAATCAAAATCATATAAGTGTTGTAATTAAAAGACTGACATTTCAGATATTTGGTTTTGTATTGATTTATCCATGGCACTGAGATAGGAACTTGTGACAGGCAAATTCCTGAGATGCTTTAGTGGGCAAGTGCAGCTTTAGAGCCAAAAGCAACTGTTCATTAGCAACTCAAGTCCAAAACAAGGCAAACAGACATTACGTTTTAGGAAAGAAGACGATCAGGAAAGCAGACAATAATTAGAAAGAAACGGTTCTCTTCAAAAAGAACCTTAACTAGAATGAAAAGAAAATTAACCCACTACAATTTAGACATTTCTTTCAGGATTTCACATCTCTAAATATGCAAAGGATGTTTGTACCCTCAACCAATTCTTCTACTATCAACTTCAAAACAAAAATAAGGAGACAAAGCAATCAAGTCACACGGGAGCAAATATACACCGTTATTCCTGTGATCATCTAAATTAAAGCGGATTTGAGACGGAGGTGCTGGAGCCAATCGCTCGGTGGCTGAATGGACCCCCCCACACCTCACCCCGCTCCTTGTAGGAGAGCAGCGCCCACGATACGGAACCCCGCCGGGCCCCCCCTTCCACTAGGCAGGGCGGACACCACTAGCTTAACCGAGGGGAAGGGAAGGGAAGGGAAGGGAGAGAAGGGGAGCCTTGCAGACCGTCCAGCGCCAGCATGGAGGGAAAGTCCTTGCAGTTGGACACCCCGGTGGAGTCGGTCACGCAGGTCTTCCAAAGGTTGGCCCAGAAAGTGGCCGTAGTGATGACGGTGCCGTCGATGGAGGACACCTTCCAGTAGTCGGTGGGCAGCGTGGAGGACACCAGCACCCAGCCAGAGATGACCAGCAGGAAAGCCAGGATTTCGACGGCCGCGCTGGCCATGGCCGACGAGACGGAGCGGGGCGGCGAGGGCGCGCGAGCCTCCTACCTGCGCCCCACTGGCCGACCGACTGAGCACAGCCGGCTGCCCCGGCCCCGCGGAGCTCCCACCCGCGCAGCATCCTCCGGGCCGAGAGGGAGGGGGAAGGAGGCACGCCTCCCGCCCAATCCCGGCCGTGAGATGGCGCTGCCGGCGGGCAGGACCGGCTTCGACGCCTAGAGAGAGAAAGAGAGACCCACGTCTCCAAATGGGCTGCCAGCTTTCGGCGCTCACTGCCCGCGCTTTCGCCCCGCGCCCGGCGGTGGCCCTCTGGCGCCTCTGAGCAGAGGGCGGGCCTGTCTTGGCAGCCCAGCCAGAAGTGACCGGGGGTGGCGGCGGCGGCGGCGGCGGCGGCGGCCTTCTCTTCCTCAATTGCATCTAGAGTTGCCAGGTGTCCACTATTTGAGCGGACAGTCCACTTTTTTCACATTATGTTCACTATTTTTTTTTTTTACAAAATAGTGGACATTTTTTTTTATTCAAAATAATATTTTACATATTATTATAATATATTTGATGTTTGGAATTTTAAGTAAAGTTTTGAAGTGATTATTTTAATACGTGTTAAAATGTTTGTAAGAAAATATATAATTTAATTGTAATTTTTTTTAAACTTTTTTTACTACTTAACACCCCCCCCCCCGCTTGTCCGCTATTTTTTGGAAGCAGACCTGGCAACCCTAATTGCATCCGCGCAGGAAAAGGACGGGGTCACGCCTGGTTCATTCCAAATATTGGCAGCAGGTTGGGGTGAGATTCCCACACGGCAAGATTTCTATCATGCACGTGTAGAGAAACTGTGTACAAATAGGTAAAGCAGGTGTGTCCGAGACCTAGGTAGGTACATTTCCCTCCCTCCTCCCCCCAAATACAGATAGTCCTCGGTTCATGACCACAATGGAGCCCAACATTTCTGTTGCTGAGTGAGACGTTTGTTAAGTGAGTTTTGCCCCGTTGTACGATCCTTCTTGCGCACGGTTGTTAAGTGAATCACTGCAGTCGTTAAGTTAGGGACATGGTGGGTAAGTGAATCTGGCTTCCCTGTTGACTTTGCTGGTCAGCAGGTCACAAAAGGGGATCACATGACCCCAGGAGAATGCAGCTGTCATAAATATGAATCAGTTGTGAAGCATCTGAATTTTGATCACCTGACCCTGGGGATGCTGCAATGGTCATAAGTGTGAAAAATGGTCATAAGTTGCTTTTTTCAGTGCCGTTGTAACTTTGAATGGTCACTAAATGGACTGTTGTAAGTTGAGGACTACCTGGCCACCAAGATCCATGAAGAAATTCAGCAAAGGTGGAGCGCTTGGGTTAGGAAGGCAGGGCCAAGAAAACTCAGCTAGTCACAATTGCTAAGTACCTCAGTTTTCTACCTCTTTTCAGTCAGGATTTATCTCTGGGGGCATCTCCAGGTGAAACCATTTGAGACCTGCAGTTCTGTGTCAAATTCACGGCAGCAAATCATCAGAGAAGGAGGTACAAATCTTGTGAAAACATTCAGCCAGAAAATGGGCTATTATATTCTCACAGAATATGTGACATTTTATAAACTTAGCTGTAAAGAGCATTTTCACAACGACAGATGCTTATTCCACCCAAAACCAGGTAAGCTCTCCAGCATAGCTGAACGGAGAGTCCAGCAGAACAACGTAGTTTGCAAAAGATGTAAGTCAATAGAGGTTTTTTCAAGAATAAATTCACCAGCAGCCATTTCCAGTTTCATCAATTATATTACAGATGACAATACTACTTGTTCTTTTGCCAGAGTAAACAGATTAGGGTCGTCATGCCTGTTGTTCTCCAGATTGGTTTTTCTTTTTCATTTATCCTCCATGTTGGACTACTTGACGTAGCCCTGTTTTAGGGTATATTTAGAGCCCTTAGCTAAGAA